CTTTCACTATATTTGATGTCAGTATAACATGTGGAGGAGATGGGGACAAACAAGTCGTTTAAGGATTCAGGTGGACCTGTTGCAACAATGAGAAGTACAAAATGTCATGTCAAAACCAGCTTTACAATGTCGGTGTGTGGGGGGGAACGGGTTATGATTGGGTGGGGGGGAGGGGGGAGGCTGGGAAGGGGTGTGAAGGATAAACAAAGGAGGAGGCTGCAATGCTTGGTAAGAAATGTATGCATTATCCTGCCCATGTAATTATAACCACTCTGTACAGTATGTTCTCAAATAAAATCAAATTAAATTAAAAAAAATAAATAAAAATAAAAAAATAAAAAAACAACTAGAAAAAAAAAGAATAGTGAATCATTCATCATGCAGTCAGCATGTGATAAAAGCATAGTAAAGCAAGTTTACTAAAACTGCATGTTCAGGAACAAGCAAGCAGCATGAAAGAGTCCTTCACTAAGTAGGGCACGAGTGGCTCACGCCCAAAATCTAGCTACTCAGGAGGCTGAGTGAGATCTTGAGGATTGTGGCTCAAAGCCAGTCCTGGCAAAAAAGCTCTGTGAAAGTCATTTCCACTAAACTACCAAAGAAGTGAGAAGTGGGGCTGTGGCTTAAGAGATAGAGCACTAGCCTTGAGCAAGAGCAGCTCAGGGACAGCGGTCAGGCCCTGTATTCAAGCTGTACAACCAACCAAAATAAAGTATTATGTATTAAAGTTACTGTTACACAATAATAATATGTTATATTATTGTGCAGAAAACTTTAAAAGCCAAATTGACCTTTACCTGCAATTAAGTACAATATGACAGAGTGAAGAAGCTAGAATTTACTTCGGGTGTACGGTTCCCTTTGAAGATTACTGTTAAAACTTATGCTCCCAGGCTGGGAAGGCGGCTCAGTGGCGGAGTTCTTGCCTCACAAGCATGAGGCCCTGCGATCAAATCCTCAGCACCACAGAAAAGAAAAAGGCCAGAAGTGGCACTGTGGCTCAAGAGATAGAGCACTGCTTTGAGCTGAAAAGCTCAGGGACAGCGCCCAGGCCCAGAGTTCAAGCCCCATAACCGACAAAAAAATAAAAAAATAACTAACTAAATAAACTTATGCTCCGGCCTGATCTGTTATTACTGTAGGTTCTGAACATCAGATTTAATAACTACACACCAGCAAGGTATTTATACTCTAATGGCATGTGACAACCAGGAGAAAAAAGAAATCACTATTTTGCTGGATTGAGATGGATTAAGTTGTTAGTTTCTTGAGGGTGAAAAAGAGCTAATGAATCTATTATAGGGAGAACATATCTGTGGCCTTTCTAGAATTTTAATGGATTAAAAGAAAAATGACCTCTCAGGCTAGCTCAGGCAGGAAAGTTAGATACTTGTCTCCAATTAAGCACCAAAAAACCCCCCCCAGAAGTAGAGCTATGGCTCAAGTGGTAGAGGGCTAGCCTTGAGTGAAAAAGCTCAGGGACAACACCCAGGCCCTGAGTTCAAGCCCCAGGACTGGCACCAAAGAAAACAGTGAGTTCCGGTTCATGAGCTGGCATTCCTAATCACAGAATCTCAGAACTTCAAGAGATTTTATTGTTCAACTAATCAGAGTCATCCGACGCATAAGAGACTGCAAGAGACTAGCAAGCAGAAACGTAAGATCTGGTCTACAGTTTTGTCTTTTAAGTTTTCAATTGGTTGTCTGATGTTGAAGGGAAAAAAAACTTGTGGAAAGTTTATATAAAAAAATGAGTCCTTCCCATCCCTTGAAGAATCAGTAAGCTCTAATTCTGATTCATGGTGGTTCATGACAAGATCCCATGGAGGCTAATGAGTGTCTGGGTTTTTTAAAATGAAAATGTACACTCCATTTCACCAACTAATAATACATCGGGCCTACTCCCAAACTAGATCACCTATCCAGCTCTGTGGGTGAGTTTTCACATCCACAACTTCAATAATGGGAAGTCATTCTGAACTGTGCTCAGTATGTTCTTTTCAAGTTAAACAGGTATTCATACCCCTTTCTTCCCATATGGTCCCTCTCCTCCTCAAGCCCTCTCCCAAAACAGATACTTTCTTTCACCTGTAACACTAAGGAGTAACACAACAGTCTTAAGATAGGACACTCAGCTGAACGCCAGTGGCTCACACCTAAAATACTAACAAATAAGGAGGCCAAGATCTGAGGATCCTGGTTCAAAGCCAGCCCCGACAAAAAAGTCCATCAGACTCTTATCCTCAATTAACAAGCAAGAAGAAGGAAGTGGAGGTGTGGCTCAAGTTGTAGAGTGCCAGCCTTGCCAAGCAAGAGTGTGAGGCCCTGACTTGAAGCTCTAATACCAACACACGGTATCATGCAGGCGTGGGGTTTTTAATCCCGGGTATTAAAATCTGAAGCAGCAGCCTTGCCCAGAGAGCAGGCCAAGTAACAGGGAAGGCTAATCAATCACAGCTTGAAGACAGGAGCTGGGGAGTGAGGGAAGAGGGAGCCGGCCAGAGACAACCAAATGTGATCAACTACCAGGGCTGAGAGTAAACTGACTGCTGGAGGATTGTGAAGAACAAGGGGCTAGGATACACATGCCAGATGAGGAAGGGAGAGAAGACATGCAGGAGGAGCAGGGAGCTCAGGTGCAGAGAGGCAGGGTCACTTCTGGAGAAACCCACCTGCATGGTTTCTTGGGAAGGCTCTGCTACAGAACGTGAGCTGGGCGCTGGGGGCCTGGCAGTGGTTTGAGGATCACAGATCAAAGTCTGGGGGAGGAGGGCCTCCAGAGCTCCTGGAGCTGGAGCCTGTCTGCATGTGTGGGGGGTGTGAGCGTGAGCATGGTAGGCAGGACAGATGTCTCCTTCATCCAGGAGGGTTTGTCTAAAAAGGAGGCAAGAGCTTTATCAAGCCCGGGACGTGAGTGAGACGCGAGTGGCAAAGCACCTAAAATCAGAGCCTTACCTCCAATTAACCAGAAAAAAGCTAGATGGAACTGTGGCTCAGCGGCAGAGTGCTCGCCTAGCATGTACGAAGCCCTGGGTTCAATTTCTCAGTACCACATACACAGAAAAAGCCAAAGGGGCGCTGTGGCTCCAGTGGTTTAGAGTGCTAAAAGAAGCTCTGGGGGAGGGGGGAGCTGGGAAGGTGGCTCAGTGGAAGAGTAGCTTGCCTTGCATGCATGAGGCCCTGGGTTCGATTCCTCAGCACCGCATAAGCAAAAAGAAAAAAGCCGGAAGTGGTGCTGTGGCTCAAGTGGTAGAGTACTAGCCTTGAGCTGAAGAGCTGAGGGTCAGCACCCAGGCCCAGAGTTCAGGCCCCATGACTGGACCCCAAAAAACAAACAAACAAACAAACAAAGAGGCTCTGGGACAGTGCCCAGGCCCTGAGTTCAAACCTCAGGACTGGCAAAATTCAGTTAAGTTGTACCTTTAGTCAGGCATTATGACATGCGTCGGTAGTCCCAGCTATTCAAGAGCCAAAGCAGAAGGGTCACTCCAACCTAGAAATTCAAGTTGCCAGTCTAGACAGCATGGAAAGACTCCACGTTCTGTAGGCACCAGTACAAGTGAGTACTAAATGAGTTAACTGACCATCATACTAGAATTCCTTACGCCCCAAATAAGAGACAATGTAGCCGGGCGCCAGTAGCTCACACCTGTAATCCTAGCTACTTAGGAGGCTGAGATCTGAGGATCACAGTTCAAAGCCAGCCTGGGCAGGAAAGTCTGTGAGACTCTCATCTCCAATAAACCACTAGAAAACCGGAAGTGGCACTGTGGCTCAAGCTGTAGAGTGCTCGCCTTGAGCTGAGGAGTGCAGGGACAGCACCCAAGCCCAGAGTTCAAGCCCCACAACCGACCAAAAAAACCAAAAAAACTGTCAGTAGGCACATTTCAGAAACTAAACATCAGGGGCTGGGAATGTAGCTTGGTAGGAGAATGTATACTTAATATGCAGAAGGCCTTGGGTTCCATTCCGAGCACTACAAAGAGGGGGGAGGGAGAAAGGGAGGGGATGTTACAAACTTAATCACATTGTTAAGATCCAATGGTGAGGCCCAGTACTTGTATTTTGCAGAAGCCAATGTTTACGCCTCCACATTTCTAGTTATAATAGGTAAGAACACCAGTACTAGCCAACACTGGTGGTTCACATCTATAATCCAGTCGACTTGGAGGCTGAGATCTGAGGACGGAGCCAGTCCCCAGCAGGCAGGCAAATACCGGTGACCGTTGCTAAATTAACCCGAAAAAGAGTGGGTATGGTTCGAGTGGCTGAGCTCCAAACCAAAGCAATGAATCCATTGACAACCAAAAACTCCTAGCTACTTAGAGATGAGAGAATCTCGGTTCAAAGCTAGATCAGAGAGAAGACTTAGACTGGATCTCCAAATAGGGAGCAAAAGCTGGCTGTAGCTGGTGGTGGTAGAGTACCAGCCCAGTGGAGCAAGACCACCACCAGGCCAGTCTGGACCACAGCACTGCCATGCGACACACACCTGCATGTGCATGGGCCCTGCCTTCTCTACAGACTCAACCTAACCATAAACCTCCACTGATGTCTTGCTTTTGTTTTCTCAACATTGTTTTGTTCCTGCATCAGCCTTCACAACCTGCCACAACCTTGACAAGTTTCTAATGAACTTCTTTTTCAAGAGAAGGCTGTTTTAAATTTTGACATGTATTTAGCAGCGGTCTGGAATTTACAAGATAAATGGAGAGCCTAATGTCAGCCTTCAGATTTCCCTATCTTGTCTTACAGCTAACATTTCAAGTATGTGATCGACGGTAATAATGACTTGCAGGGAAACCTACGCTCACATCCGATGTGCATTGCATCACATCCTTGCGCTCAGGGGAGCTCCAGATGGACCCTTACACTAGATTGGACAGCAGGGACTGATGGACTTGTTCCAAAGCATTAAGCCACCATCTGCAGCCTTCTGTTAATTCCCTCCATCTCATCTGTTCCATTCTGAAATCTTTTTATATACCCATTGCACCAGTAACCAAGATTTGTCCTGCACCTAGCTCCTTCCCATAAGGCAGAAATAAATATAATATTATTCTCAATTAAACAATGTTTCCACATTATTCTTTAAATCCTAAAACATTACTCTGTATTTAACAGCAAAAGTACCATGCAAGGCACTTTAGAGTACAATACTCGGTCGGAACCGAGCCTAAAATTATCATTTTAGGCCATCTTTGTTCTGCTGCTAGGCTTGGCTCTCTCCTGGTTCTATTCTCAATTCAAGCCACGATATGTTGTGTGAGCTGTACATTAAACCCAAATTATTTCTAACATCTTTTCCGTCTCTTACTGTCTGCCGGACTCCAGAACGTGTTGAAGTTGCCTGTACACAATAAAGAGCATTTAACGTCAAGTGAGAGTCCAGCAATGACGTCACTGTATGAGCAACCCCAGAGCTGGAGGCAGAGATGGGATGTAGGGCTACTCAATCCATCAGGACAACCTCAAGTTTTCAAAGACTGCGTAGGCTACACCGTGAGATACTGTTTCAGATAAAATCAATCAATATATACAACCTGCAGTTCCTGGTGGTTTTTGTTGTTTTTCTGTGTATGCATGTGCACACCAGCACATACAAGCACACATGTGCATTATCAGTACTGGGGCTTGAACTCAGGGCCTTTCACTCAGTTCTTTTGCTCACAACTGGCGTTCTATCACTTGAGACAAACCTCCACTTTCTGCTTTTTGCCTATTATTTGGAAATAGAACTCTCACAGATTTGTCTGCCTGGGCTGACTTGGAACCATAATTCTCAGATCTCAGCCTGCTGAGTAGCTAGGATTATAGGCAGGCATGTGTCACCAGGGCCCAGCTATTGCTTCTTGCTTTGAGACAAGGTCTCATTACATGGACTAGAATTCACTATGTAGTAGCCTAGGTGAAGCTCATACTCACAACCCTCCTGCCTCAACTTCCCTACTAACTGCGCTGGGATCACAGACATATACCTACACCCACAGTGATCACAGCTCTGCTTTTAGGAAATTATTTCTTTCAGTTGTTCATTCATTCATTCAGTCAGTCAGTAAATATTTTCTGAGTCATCATACAGAGAAGATGACAGACAGATTCTGTGGATATAAGTGTGAAGGAGATAAGATCCCTGCTGATAGGACCCATATTATTAGAGAACCATTTTCGAGAGAAAACAGACAAACTGAAGAGAAAAATCAGGAAGAAATGAGTTGGCAAAACAGGGAGAAGGTGAGATGTGAATGCTATTTTAAGCCTGGTGACCATAAATAAGAGATATCAGTAATGACTGAAGCTTATGGGTGGGAAATACTATTCTCTTCATTTACTTTTAATTTTTTATGGTGATGGGAGTGGGGATTGAATTCAAAGGCCTCATGCTTGCCGGGCAGGTACACTAGCTTCCACATCTCAGTCCTTTTTCATTTGTGCTACTTATATCTGGTTCTTGCTTGCTGCCTGGTTTTGTACCTGGGCCCCAATAGTACTGCACTAACTGGGAGATGATGCGTACCACCAACACGCAGCTTCTTCAGGTGAAGTAAGTAAGCTGGGTTGGATTCCTCAGCATCCCACACACAGAAACAGCCGGACGTGGCACTGTGGTTCAAGTGGTAGAGAGCTAGCCTTGAGCAATTGCAGTTCAGGGACAGTGTGTAGGCCCTGAGTTCAAGCCCCAGGACTGGCGATGATGGTGATGATGGTGGTGGTGATGATGATGATGATGCAATTAGATTGTATAAATTGCTGGGAGCAGCTCGGGAGATTCACATTCTAACCAAACTCCAGACAGGAGTATTGTAGAACAGGGTTTCTCAAGCTCATCACTGCTGGCATCTGAGTCAGAGTTCTGTGTTTTGGAGGGCTGCCTTTATGGACTGTAAGATATCTGGCACTACCCCTGGCCTCTGCCGTCAGCACACACAGACTTTTCCAGAGTGAGAAAAATACTCCTGCCTCTAGACGGTGCCAATCACCTTGTATCTGTACTTCTGTCAGAAGAGACCTGGCTTCTCTGTATCTTGATAGCCCATCTATATGAAACAAAGGCTGGCTGATTTTATGGTAAGGTCATCTTACACCCAGACAACTTCTGTTCTCAAAGCCCAGCCCAGATTTTGCTCAGCACATTATCTGTGCCTTTACAGCGTAAGGCTTTTCCCTTTCATCAATTACTAGCACCTGAAGGACTGTATGCAGTTTTACATTTGTATTATTTGTGGACTTATACTTCCTATGGTGCTTCCCTTTAAACCGTATGAAACATTCCCCACATACACACAGCAGCCTGGGCAGCCAGCTAGGAAAGGGCACACAGCTCTGTACTTGTTTGTATGCCTGGTCCTTGGGCTTGAATTCAGGGCCTGTTGTCCTTCAGTTTTTGGTTTTTGTTTTTCTTTGTTTTTGTTTTTTTTTGGTCGGTCATGGGGCTTGAACTCTGGGCCTGGGCACTACCCCTCAGCTCTTCAGCTCAAGGCTAGCGCTCTACCACTTGAGCCACAGTGCCACTTATGGCTTTTTCTGTGTATGTGGTACTGAGGGATCAAACCTGGAGCTTCATTCATGCTAAGCAAGCACTCTACCACTAGGTCACATTCCCAGCCCTCTCCTTGAGTTTTTTGTGCTCAAGGCTAGTGCTGCTCTACCACTTGAGCCACAGCTCCACTCCCGGCTTGTTCTGGTAGTTAACTGGAGATAAGAGTCTCATGGATTTTTCCTGCCCCGGCTGGCTTCAGGAAGGGGACCCTACAATTGAACTCTTCAGTCTGCCAAAATGCTAACTATGTAGGAAATGGAACTAATTCAGCTGTTTCTGGTGTTTTTTTGGGAAAAGAAAAAGTTCAACACCTTCCCAAACTTGCTCCCAGAGTGAGTTCTTTCCAAAGAGAAGTTTTAGCCCTCCCCTCCTTTCCTCTGGTGCCACAGTGACTCAAATACCCTTCCTCAAGTCATCTTTGACCCCTCAATGCCCAATGGGTGTTTTCCACTGTCTTTCTCCTGTGTCTCTCTTATTACTCAGCAATACCAATCCTGTGATGGGGAGCAGAATCACTTTTTTTTTTTTGGTCGGTCGTGGGGCTTGAACTCTGGTCCTGGGCACTGTCCCTACGTTTTTCATCTCAAGACGAGCACTCCACAGCTAGAGCCACAGCACCATTTCCGGTTTTCTAGTGGTTTATTGGAGATAAGAGTCTCACAGACTTTCCTGCCTGGCAGTGATCCTCAGATCTCAGCCTCCTGAGTAGCTAGGATTACAGGCATGAGACACCGGAGCCCAGCAGAGCCAAGCAGAATCGCTCTTATCTGAATACTTACTGACTTCCATCACTGAGCCACCACACCTACCAGGAGCTTAGGGGTAGAGAAGAATCTGCAGTGATTACTGACATTTTATTATTTGCAGCCAGAAAAATCATACTTGATACACTTCTGAGTTCAATGTGCACAGGGTCGATCATCTAGTTCTACCCAGTGTTTCAATGGCAAATGACCTTTCCTACTCTGACGATCTTCTTTCACTCTGTTCTGGCCCAGCAACCAGTGCTAGATTTAACCTACACACAGGGCACACAAGAGTTCTTAGTCTAGAACTTTATAAGTTTTCCCACTACCTGAAGAAACATGACTAACAGCGAGCTGATATGCAAGGCTTACTACAGCAATGCCTCTGTGGTCTCTCTCTCTCGACCTCTTTTTCTACCGGTCTGAATAAGGAAATAACTCTGATCCGGCCAGCTTTGCTAACTTGCACACCATGAACCCCTGAGTCCCGGAAGCTCTTCACTCATCATCATTGCCTCCCCCTGAGCTACTGGTTGCTTTATAGATATAACATGGGTTTTCTACTATATTGTAACAGATCCTTCTTGATAAATTTCCCAAGGCAACAGTAATAATCCGTACAACTTTAGCATTAATAATGAAAAGAATGGAAAAGATTTTTTTTGGGGGGTCCGGATGTGGGGCCTGAACTCTGGGCCTGGGCGCTGTCCCTCAGCTCTTCAGCTCAAGGCTAGCGCTCTACAACTTGAGCCACAGTGCCACTTCCGGCTTTTTTCTTTTTGCTTATGTGGTGCTGAGGAATCGAACCCACGGCCTCATGCATTGCAAGGTAAGTGAGCACAAGAGAAAGATTTTTTAATTCCATTTTTACTTTAAAAAGCTGCATATTGGCTGGGAAGGTGGCTCAGTGGTTAGAGTGTTTGCCTAGCATGCATGAAGCCTGGGGTTTGATTCTTCAGTACCACATACACAGAAAAACCTGGAAGTGGTGCTATGGCTCAAGTGGTAGAGAGTTAGCCTTGAGCAAAAAAAAAAAAAAAAACAAAAAACTCAGGGACAGTGCCCAGGCCCTCAAGTCAAGCCCCAGAACTGACCAAAAAAAAAAAGTTGCATATTACAGAAATGGAAGTACAGGAATAAAGATGGTATCTATCCATCACTAACATGAAAACTCCAGTCAGGAGGCTGTCAAGTAGATCCTTTTCCCTCCTGATCCCAGCATGATGCAAGCTTGTGCCGTTTGTAACACATGGGGATTGAGAAGAAAGGTCAGAAACAATAGATAAAAATCAGTACATGTGTAAGATACTCACTCAAATCAGTACCAGTCTAGGAGTGGGAAACTTCTCATTATGGCAACCTGAGAAATCTTTGAACACCTTTCCCTCCATAAAGGTGTACCAAACGACTCCAGGAAATAAAAAAATTCTTACCCATAAGTAGGATTATTTACAAAAAACCTTTCGGGAAAAGAGAACACACAAAATGGAAATGGAAGAAAGGATTTAAAGTAGATCTGTTAATTTAACAGACTTTGTCAAGCAAATCCACCATCCCTAGTGTGCTATTTATTGTGCCTAATAGAACCAACACTCGAGTAAAAGGTAGTCATTAAAAAGGACTGGTCAGAAGGGGAAAACACAGCAAACAAGCCAGCTTAAAAAGTTTCTCAATTTTAAGTGAGTTACTCTGAGGGAATTATCTGGAGGTGACTTTAAAGTTTAA